AAATAAGACAAGAGAAAAGAGAAGGAAGGGAAAGACAGAAAGGAAGATCGGAAGATCAAACTCATCAAAGTAAGGGTTTATATAAAAACAAAAAACGTATCATAACAAAACAATAAACAATCACGTGATCTCGTGTTAGTATGATACGAGATTTTTGTAAAATTATTTTCTAAAAATATTAAGTTTAAAAATTCCGTATACATTCCGTATGATTAATTTTTTCCGTATACATTAGTTTTTTTAAAAAATGTTCAAAAATGAATTGCTTATTAAATATACGGAATTTGTACACGGAATCTATAGAAACGTACATAAAATGTATACAAAACGTATCCTTTCCGTATACATATTTCTTATAGGGATTAAAAATAATAAAAAATATATTATTATATCTTTAAAGTAAAATCTAGCCTTTATATAATATGAATTTACCAAATTGAATCATAGTATTAAAAATATATGAAATGTTATGAAAATTAATAAGTGATTTAAATTTTTTAAAAAAAAATTGTTTTTTATCCGGATTCCGGGTAAATCTTACTATTTTTTATCCGGATATTTATCCGGGTAAAAACCGTAATTATCCGGATACCTAAAAAAAAAATTTATCCGGGTTTATCCGGTTGAACCCGGAAACGGATCGAAACACTAGGTAGGTGGGCTTGGGCTTACAGTACGTGAACATTACAGTACGTGAACATTACTGTACGTGAACATTACTGTACTATATATCACTGTCCTTTTTGATCAGTTCGATTTTTTTTAATACATTTCGTTCTCGCATTTTTTTTCGTAAAAATCTTTTTTTTTTTTGTAATACCCGTAACACCGTTATAAATCATATGCTTTGTATAAAAAACCCTTTTGTAAGCCAAGTCTATATTCGGTTCTTATGTTGAATCTTTTTTTTTCTAAATTCTTGTCGTGTACGAATTACGAAACTCTTTCCGTGTTTGTGATAATCTATTTCTCGATTTTTAATGTGCTCATCCCCCCTCTTCTACGTTTTTTTTATTTAGACGACTTGTTCTATTTTTTTTACTGATTTTTTTCCAATATTTTTATTTTTATTTCTTATTTACTAGGAAATAAAATTATCGTAGTGCTTAAAAAAATTGTTTGTTTGGTATAAAGTATTTAAAATGTTTATTATTCATATTCAATACACCTCTAACAGATAATGTGAGGTGTAAAGGCATATGACAGCCTGAACTGTGTGATGGTTATCTGTCGCATATACATGATCGTAGAAAAGGCTCATTGTATTTTGATTATAGAAACAATGCTTTTGATCTAGTAAATAAGAAAATTAATAAAAATAACAAAAATTAAAGTTTTTGTTATCATACTCTTTGCAATTTCTACTAGATGACAAGTGAGCAGTGAGCACGTCCTAAATGTGTGAGGCGAAACTGGTTTTGCCAATTGTGCAAAATTCCGAAACTGGCGAAACTCTGAAACCTAAAAAAGTCACGTGTTAAATGTTTAACTTTTAATTGGCTATAAGGTATAATCATATGATTCCAAGATCTCATTTCTCATTTAAATTATTTTAGATGTAAGGTAGGATTTTGTACAAGTTCTCATTTTTGACACTTGCTACCAAATATCAACTTCCATTTAAAAAATTTCGTCATAATCGGAATATGATTGGATATTGTAAATATGGTAAAAATCTACTATATAATAATTGTTTTCCTGTGTGACAGTCACGTTTAGATTACATATTTATATCTGTGTTCCTGTAACGTTTAGACTACAATTTATACCTGTGTATCCGTAATGTTTAGACTACGAATTTATACCTGTGCACCCGAAAGACTGTATAAAATCGCGTATAACATTTAACCGTCGTACCGATCACGTGTATGTTTATCTGACGTTGCGGCGGAGCAACGGGTTGACGGGTTCAACGGCTAGTATATAGTATATATATATATAATTTATTTAATATTCCAACTAAAGCGAATAAAATAAATAAATATGAAAACACGAATGATAAAAAGAATTTAGATTGCGATTTTGAAATTTAAAATTTAATGTAAATTGAATGAACGGGCGTGTAATCTACAACTGGATTTTGGATATGAAACTTATTTAACAACCAATTATGACATGCATGACAATTTTAGTTTCGCTGAGTTTCGGAAGTTTTGCTAGGTTTCAGACATTTCACCAGGTTTTGACAGTTTCGGAATAGCCAAAACTGAAACTCAAAATAGGCGAAACATTTCACTAATCGCAAACAGTTTCACAACACAAATTCAATTTTTCGGTTCACATAACATTGAAATTTAAAATTGACCAGGGACCCGGAGTTTATTGTTTATTGTTTATTAATAAAAAAAGGTTATATATAAAATCGTGACATCTGATTAGTTGACTTTTAAGGGAGAGTAATTAAAGAATTTATTTAAGTTCTCAGTCACGTGATAAACTTACCCGCCAATAAAATTACATATTGATCACATGATAAATTTTTTATGTACTACACAATATAAACTTCATCCAAATAATAATAACGCATATGCGAGCCATTAAAAGAAAGTTAACTTTAACACTTTGTTTATTAATGTGATAATAAATCTTACAATATTTAATTGAAGATAAAATATATGATATATATACATGTAATATTTATAAATGACATAAATTTTTACAGAATTATATATTTAACTAGCTACCATTTTATACCTCTATATTTCCTGAAAAAAACTAAATACCACATTCAATATATTTTTTTTCGCTCCTTTGTTCTTTTTTAGTTCCTATTTCAATTTTTTTCATTTCTTAATTCACGTTTTCCACTTTGTTCAGCTTATTCTCTTTTATCTCATTTCTTAGATTATATATCACGTTTGTTTGATTGTTTATCTTATTTGTTAGTTTTTCTATCTCTTCTGTTAGTTTATCTATTTGCTCTTTATCTTTACTATTTCCTTCGCCATTCAGATAAATGGAGATTAATGTATTGATTTTATCAGGGTTTTCATTAAAATGGTCAACTAATCTAGTAAAAGATAAAGTACAAATTCCAAAAGCTATTTTTGTGGTAATAGGACTGGTGCTAATTAAATATCCAGATACAATAGCTGGATAAACAATTAATAACACTATATTGATATGTTTAAAAACATTTAAGATTGTAGTGAATTGATCGATATGTTTAAAGTTTTCTAAGTAACGTCCCAATTTGCCTTCACGAAGTTTGCGAATGCGTAAAATTGAGATATAAAGCCCATGTAAAACATAAAATACAATTCCAGCAAAGTATATTATTATATTTGTTAGCCTCAAACTGTTGCATTTGTTAACTCCAAAGTTTTCAATGCAATAACTACTCATGTGATTATAAACCTTGTTAGGGTTATTAAAACCAAACGAGAGATCATGATCACCATGGATAAAGGCATCATACCCAAAATATGTTGAAATAGTAAGCACAAAAATGAAGTAGCAAGCTAACAATTGTATTTCATTTATAGATCTTTCAAATAACGCTTTTATGATTATTTTGATTATTTCTCTCCCATTTATTTTTTCATCATTCTCTTCATTTTTGTTGTTTCCATTTTCATTATCCACATTTTTACTTATTTCATCACTTCCTATCTCATCAATTTTTATTTCTTCCTCAACCGAGCTTACATTTTCATTGTTTTCTTCTTCATTCTTTTCATTCTCTTCATTTTTGTTGTTTCCATTTTCATTATCCACATTTATATTTATTTCATCACTTCCTCTCTTATCAATTTTTTTTTCTTCTTCAACCAAGCTTAGTACATTTTCATTGTTTTCTTCTTCATTCTTTTCATTCTCTCCATTTTTGTTGTTTCCATTTTCATTATCCACATTTATACTTATTTCATTACTTCCTCTCTTATCAATTTTTTTTTCTTCTTCAACCGAGCTTACATTTTCATTGTTTTCTTCTTCATTCTTTTCATTCTCTTCATTTATGTATTGAACCAATAAGAAATAGATATATGAAATTATTCCAAAAAATGCTATAAAGGTGTAATTTATAATAACTGTTTTTTTGTAATAGTTGCTATAATATTGATACCACTCAATTGCTGTAATTAAAGGATATATGACAATAGATGCAAATATAACAAAATCATCAAATATATTTATCACAGATAATTTCTTTTTTTTACCATCTTCAAAACCATTAAACAGACCAACTATCAATACTGGAAGTAATCCAGTGAGAATTGAATTAATTGTTTCTTCAGCTGGATTATAAGATGAATTAGATGATGACATTTTTGTACATAATCACGAATTGAGATAGTTTGAATAAAAAAAATTTTTTAGATTTTCTATCTTTTATAATTTTTTTTTTTTTTTTTTTGAAATTTCTCGTGTTATTTGTTGTTTTACATAAAATTAATTTTTCCCATTTATATCAAACATAATAAAATGCAAATGATTGATTGATATGGGAATCAGGCGATAAAATGACAAGCCGATTTCTTTTGTTTAAAAAAAATATAGATAGTAAAAGATTACAAAGTACTCTACTTCTTAATCTAGTTTGCGTCACCAGGTTCCGCAAGTCCACAGTCCACATGATAAACGGATCGACATAAATTTGAAAATGAAATTCATTTTTTTATTTTATTTTGTTTTTAAAAGTTAATGAGTTAATACGAAATTATATAATATTTAAACCATTTTTTTAAAAAAAAAAAAATAAGAAAAATTAGTCGGTAACGCCATTTATAAACTGTCGCAAATATTCAAAAATTATGCAAATTCCTACAGACACTCTAGGCCCATTCAAGACAGATACAAATTTTAACCGACAATTCAACTATTTAGAAACAATATCAAAAAAATTCTAATATATATCTGATATGATTAGCTTTTGAAAATAGTGCAATATGATCGGATGAACTCTCATTAATGGCACTCGCAAAAAATTTTTTCAAGTAATTTGTTTTTTAAAATAAATGAAATAATAATACTAAGTTTGAAGGTAATAAGAATGCAGTAATTTATTTATTTATAAAATAGACACTAACGTTAATATTTGCATTTTTAAATTTCCTTAACTCTGTAATTATTATATTACTGTATCAGATCTCTTATGATACGTTCAATAATTGTAATAATTGTGTAATGCTATACTTTCAAGTTTCAACCATAGTGACCATACGATAATTCGTTAAATACTTAAATTCTAGATTTAACCTATAATATTTTATTGTATTCATGCGTTTACACACAATTTTTAAAGACGTAACATATTTGTAGCTTGTATATATAATTTATTAAATTTTCTAATATTTCTAATAAAATTTCATTTGGTAATAAATTAATTGTACAAAAAACATTTTTTTTTAAGTATTAAAAAACAATACTATTTTTTTTTAAAAAATTAATGCTTATCGTATTATACTTGAAGGATCATCATGGTAACGCGTAATTTATTTGTTAACGGATCTTTTTCTTTTTTTATTTGTCACGCTAATATTATCTATATTATTCTCAGTATTTTCAGGTAATCCAGAATCATTTATTATGAGTTTAAACATTTTATTTAATTGATAATCTGTAGTGTGATAATGCGACCCGGTCGAATGCATGCAGTAATGAATTCTTTTGAAAAATATTTTTAATATAATTAATTTTTCGATTATTGGGTTTTCAATCCATTTTTTTAGGTTATTATATGATAAAGCAATTATATTAGCCAAAAAAATAAATATTTTATTATTTTTTTTTTTTTCATATCAAATATTATTTTATTTTATTTAATAATTAAATAAAATATATAATTGAATATGTAATTACAAGTACCTAATTATTATAAATTCAAATTTGATTTTAAAATAACAGATAAGACACATTATTGTATATGTTCTATGTAAGCATTGGACATTTTTCACGTATGTTATTGATCACTTTATAATAGTGATACACAAATTTTGGTCACTTTATAATTAGCGATATACAAAATCTTGATCACTTTATTATAAAATAATAAATAAGATACACGAAAAAGGTCTCAGTTGCTTACGTCATACATATCCAATAACTTTATTATCAGTCATATTTACGATAACTGATTTACACTATGCTACTCTATCATGTGGCCTTCGGCCACATGATATACATAGCAATCCTAGTGCAGAGACCCGGATTTATTCCGATATTAAATCGCAAATTTTTATCACGATAACGGAAAAAATTCCGATAAAAAATTATAGTAAGAAATATTTGATAATTCTAGCCGGCTTACATCTTAATGCAGGCCAACTTAGGTTGATCTAGTGACACGACAATAATTTTAGCCAAAAACGATTTAAATGATCAACAATTTACTAATTACTAGTTTTTTTACAAATTCTATCACGATATAGTCAATAAAATATGCAATAATGATTGGCTAGTTGTCACGTGACGGAATAAAATTGTTAAAAATCATAAAAATTCCGGTTTATTCCATAATACAGCAAAAATTCCGATTTATTCATTTATTATAAAAATGGAATTTTCCCGGGTCTCTGTCCTAGTGGTAAATCAGTTATTAACTACAACATGTAGAGATGGGGAAGTTCCAAACAGAGCGGTTCCAAACCGGTTCTGGAACCGATTCTAATTTTAGCAGATTCTGAACTTGAAACACTCTGGGAAGTTGTTCTAAAAATCGATCCGGCTCCGAACCGGTTCGATCCAAATCGGGTTGTCATCAAAATTATGACCGAAATAGAGCCGACGAACTGATCCCATCCCTAACAACATGACTGATAACAATTACTTATTGGCACGTGAAAAAAAATTATTACAATAATTGTTGGGTATCACATGACAGAGCTTTTTACGGTAAGACTTCATTGAATTTGCCGCGTATTACTAACAAAAAAAGATTCTAGTGCCCGATATTGAAGTATTATAAACTATACTTAGACGAAAAAATTTTATCATCTATTTATTACATTTTATCGAATTTTTTAACTATATTTTATAAGAATAAATAAAGAATTTTAGTTAAGCAAGCGATTCGTGTTCAATTTCATCAAGACAATTACGTAGAGATTATATGTTGAGGATTTATTTGTTGCTGTCACGATTTAAGTAGAAAATTTATATTATTTTCTTTTTATAGATGTCAATAGAATATCATTCAAAAAAGTTTAAACATTCTTGAGAAAATTATGCAACATTGTAAACATTTATGAAAAAAGAATCTCAGGAAAATATCCTGAATTTTTTTAAGAATTTTCACGTGAAATAACCCGATAAGTATAAATTTATTAAAAATAAAAGACTAATAAAATGAAGATAATAATAAATGAAAATAAAAACAAAACAAAACAAAAAGAAGCAGAACGAGAGAAGAAAAAAAAAAATAACGTTCATTCAAAAAAAATAACGTTCAAAAAATAACTTTAAAAAATAACTTTAAAAAAAAAATAACGTTCAAAAAGATAAAAAACAGAAATTTCAACGGCAATCGGAAATAGTAAATACGAATTAGACTCCGAGATATAAAAGAAAATAAAATGAAAAGGGAGGAAGATAAGGTGGAGAGATATAGAAAAAAAAACCATTAAAATTTTGTAACCCAGTAAAAATCTTAATCGTTTTACGGAATTCTATTTGTACAAAAAAAAACGAATTATAATTTAATTCATTCGTTTAACCTGCCGAACTTTTCTCGTCATTTTTATTATTATTATTTTATTTTTGTGTTTTTGGTTTTTTGATGGGAGGAAAAAGCTTATGAATCATAATTTTATGTATATATTAAACATAATTTAAATATAATTTTAACAACGGGCCGGGCATAATTGAATTTTTTCATTTCATGAAATTCTTATAAAGATTTTTTTCGAGAATTAAATGGCTGCTTTTATATAATATTATGAAACTTACGCAGTAACGAAAACATATAACAAAAGTCAAGAGATTGTTAATAGAAAGAAGAACAATCATAAATTAATGATGATGAATGATGATGAATTAATGATGAGTTTATCATATCGGCTGATTGGAGAAATTGGGCCTTAATTGTCTATTAATATTACGTAATCTGATTCTTTTACTTATATAGAATCGCGTCTAACCCTCTTTTTATTATGTATATTATTATATATAAATCACGTCTAACCCATTGTCCCATTTGTTTATAACAGATGAGTTTCTTGCGAGTATATATATAATAAATGTAGTTTAATTTATTGGCTGACAATTGATCACAAAAATATCCCCAAAATTTTAGGGAATTCCTCTATCGTCCGATATGTGTATGAGTAATACCTTTTCTTTTTTCAAAAAAGTAAACACGAAAATAAATTTTCTACTTTAAACAAATAGAAAAATCGCGCGTCAGTGGCGTAAAATCAACATAATGAGTTCTTTTTTGTTCAATAATTATACAGATTAAGTATATATTAAATAAAAGAAGGCTTTTTGTTGAAAGAAAATTAATAAAGGGATAATTATTTAAAACATATGCATGAAACAAATATTAAAGTTGTATTAATAAACCGATTATAGATAATGTACCATGGAATACAATGATTAAAAAATAGATTATTATTTTACTCTTATTAATTAATGGTTGATAATTATTTATTTCTTCTACAAAGAACTTACCAAGATCCTTTGCAGATCAATACTTACATTCATCATAAATTTTCCGATTTAAACTTCAAAGTTTGCAGGCGAACTTTTTTTCACCCTCATATATTCTAGCACCCTGTACAATGTTGATCAATGTAATCATATTTGGTTGTATGTTTTGAAACATCACATGCATATGTTGAAAATAAAAAAAAAAACAAATACATCATTTCTATCGAAGAACTGAAATCAGTTACCATTCAGCCGATCATCGTATGATCTTTATTAACGTAACGTAATATAATTATCAGATCAACAATGGCTAATACGAATTTAATTTAAGGAATTGATCCACAAGTCAATCGTTATTATTGATTAATTATAGAGCGAACATAATGCAGTATTATTGTTTTCTTTATTACAAAAATTATATGAAAAATATAGTTATTTTATTAAATTTAAATAAAATAGAAATAGATTTAATAAAATTTTAAAATTAAAAAAAAAAAATTTACAAAGAAATTATTTTTGTTTTTATTTTTCTCTGATTGTTAAAAAATTTTTTTTTTTTTTTAGTACTTCGTTACAAAAATGCACCAAGATATCCGACAAATTTGTATTTGAAAAAATGGTAAAATACGGAAAACAATATTTTTATTATATGTGAATATTTACACCAGCTAAATTACCGGTAAGACGAAAAGGTGTAGAGTAGTGCTCCCGTGGTGAGTAGAGTATGGTGACATTTGGCAGTGTGTAACATAAAGGGTGTGAAACATACGCAATTGATGAATAGACACCTGGCCAAACCGCTGGGCCGAGCTTGGGCCGAGGTGTTTATTTATCACTTGAGTATAATGTCACTTCCTCGTTATACTCTACTCACCACGGGGGCACTACTCTACACCTTTTCGTAGCACTCCTAAATTACAGGTTTATTAAGTTGTAAATAAATTGTAAATATCATAACTGATAATAATAATTGATACTGTGATTTGAATGATTGGTAATTTTTGCATCCCTCTATATTTGTGAAATTCAGGGAGCTGAATTTTTTCGTAAAAAAAAAAGCTAAAAATCATCAAGTAAGAAGATATTTACAAATTAATTATCTTAATAGATTTTTTCATTTTCGAAGCAACAAATGGTATAGTACAACCTCTAAAATTCTTCCCCGTGTTAACGCATATGTTGATTAGATTACACACAGTTATTGCAACACTAGTACATTACCGAATAAGGATTATAGATGACAATCTTGAGATGACGTGCATGCATATTAATTTTACAAGAAGATTAAATTCATAATAAAGTATATCAGTATATCTTTAAATTCATTGTAAAATTCTAGCAGAGTCGATTGACTAATAAATATGAAGACAATTTGTCTCTCAAGACGCATAAAATAAACGAATTGTGTAACACTCCTGCATCGAATATTAATTCGTACTTAAATTAATAATTTTGAAGAAAAAAAATTCGCCGTTTATCATAATAAAATAATTTAATAATTATTATTTAAGGATATCAAGAAACGTAATTAACTGAGTGTTTTTATTTTGCATCTATGAAACTTGGACCTATAACAAAATTAAAATTTTTTCAATTCATAATAGTATAAGCCTCTAAATGTGTCAATTCTGATTCATTGATATATGGATTACTGGGTTAAGAATATGAAATAAAATCATAAATTTTTTGTTCAATATAAACAAATTTAGACTGATTGTTTTTATTTTAATTTGCTTTTTTGGTTTTATTAGTTTTATTAAAAAAATTTTTTTTTTTTCCTTTTTTTTTCAAGCAAATGATGCACGATGATCATTTCTTGATTTAACTATTTATATTTTTTTTTTTTTTATCAAAGTTATAATATATCCTTTTTGTATATAATACTGAGAAACAATTTTAAATAAATTTTTTTTTCAACAAATTAAGCCCTAACAAATGACTGTTATGCATAAACCTGTATGGTGCATGCACGAAAGCATATACTCAAATGAAAGGTGAATGCATAAAAATGAATGCTTGTATGTTTTTGGTATATAGAATTCAGTTTACCTATAACAGATAAGGGAATTAAATAAAAGGGCGAAAAAATCATAGTAAATTTTGCTAGTGGACATGTCCGGTGACTGTTATGCATGATTTTTCGCCCTTTTTTAATTCCCTTATCTGTTATAGGTAAACTGAATTCTATATACCAAAAACAACAAGAATTCATTCTGAGTATATGCTTTCGTGCATGCGCCATGAGGTAATTAGTAGCGATTATGCAGGTTTAGTAAATTTTGCTAGTAAATGATCGACATACTATGGTACAACATTTTGGGTGGTGACTGTTATGCATTTGAACCTGCATAATCGCTACAACAAACCTAATTATCTCATGACGCATGTACGAAAGCATAGATTTAAATGAAAGGTGAATGCATAAAAATGAATGCTTGTATGACATAATTTAAATGTGTGACGAGCCCTTTAGGAGCGAGGCTATACTTCAGATTTTTACAATATCCATCTCAAGGGTAGACTGCATAATCTGTGACAGCAATTTTCGTGTCCTGTATTATATATAAAGCTGGACGAATAATACCAATCTCTACTAGTCTATTATTAATTTTAACAAAGAAATGTGGATTTTTCAATAAAGCCGATTTTGTAATAGGCGCCTCATTTTTAGTTATAATAATACTGTATTTTCATGTATCTAAATATTAAATTTGGTATCATAACCGGTTTTTTGTTGGAATATAATTAGTATTATTATATAAAGGTCGCTTAGACTTGTAATGTTTAGCTATAAATTTTAAACAACTATCGAGAAAACACAAATCAATGTCATCATTAAATGGTATACTGCTGTAGCTTCATATATGTTTGTTATTCTTATGGTTTAAAAAGTAAACAATTAATAACTAATTATGCATTGACCTATATTAATTACACATTCATTTAATTAGGTTTAGCGGTTACCGTCCGTATTGAACAGATAACTTGTTCTCAATCACTTAAATGGACTAAACTTAAGTTTGTTAATAAGTGTACCTATGTTTCTAAAGGGAGTATAGAGAATCTTAATATCCCTGATGAATGGTTGTATCATAGTAAATTAAAATTTAGAGTTTACGAACCCTTATTAATTGAAAATACTCTTGATGACATCCGATCAAAATTTCAGAAATCTCAGAAATTTCAGAAATTTCAGAAACTAGTTGGAGAACATCACCTTCATGGGAAAGCAATTGGATGTGGTTCCATTCGATTAAATTTTTTAGAACCGGACCAAAAAATTGAACGGTAAGACGAAATCATGTGTAGTGTATGGTGATATTTAGCTGTGTGTAACGCGGTAAAGTATAAGAGTGTGGAATATACTCAGGTGATAAATAATATCCCAGCCCGCGTTATGATAATTTTGGCCGATTTATATTATTTATCACCTATGTATGATGTCACATGGGGCGCCATACACTACACAACACTTCCACCCTACACTACACGTTTCATCATTCAAGTGAAAAAATATTTTTTATACTAATTTTATATTAATGACAACAGTGTTATTGATCTTAAAGCTAAAGGATCACAAGAAATTATTGGTCGTATTAAAATAAGTATGCATACCTCCAGAACACAATTACAACCACATTCTAATGTTAGGGATGTCCAACTCCTTCTTGAGGATTTTGATGGCGGGATTATGGAAATATGCAAGCTTCTTAGATCTAGGAGTTGTGATACCCAAAAACGCCTGTAATATTTTTTTTTATTTTATTTATTTACATATTAATATGGGAAGTCTTGTTAATTGATGTTATTATTTATTTAGTGATCATCCAATTACATATCCTCCTCTTATTGAGAATAAAATAAAGGATGCCCTAGAATACTTAAAATTTTCAAATATATTATACGTATGTTCTTGTATATAATCTGAATTTATTGACCACTAACCATTTTTGTTTACTAACAAGTTTATCATAATATTCGATTAGAAATATTCAATGCTAGGACTTCTTGCTGAAAACAAAATTAAAAAATCTCTTGAACGTCGTAGTAAAAAACTCATTTGTTATACCAAAAATAGAAAGAATATACCTGCATACATGATAATTGAAGATAAACCAAAAAAATCCATTATCATATGTATCCGCGGAACCCTTGTAAGATTTAACCAAGTTCTTTTCTATTCTAACACATATATAAAAATTTATCTATTAATTAACAATATTTTTTGTAGAGTATTTCTGATATATTGATCGATCTTAAAGCATACAATGTAGATTATAATTGCGAAGACTATTATCATTGTGGAATGCATCAAAGTGCAAACATTATTTTTAATGAGTTACGTGATAAAATTAAAAAATATAATAATTATTCTGTTAAAGTGACTGGGCATTCTTTAGGCGCAGCTGTGTCATCTATTGTAGCTATACTTTTACAAAAACATGAGTTTGATACCCAAGCATGGAATTTTGCAACCCCACCATGTTGTTCATTTTCTTTAACTTCTAGAACCAAGGATTTTATTAATAATTTTGTGAATGAAAATGATATTATTACAAGAATGAGTTTTGAAAATTTAAGAGAGATATCTAAAATGGTATGTAATGTTAAATTGTAATATTAATTCAAATAATTAATGAATTAATTATCTTTTTGTAAATATTAATATTATGATAGAATCTGAATAAAAATGAATTGGAAGGCACCAACAGAAAACTATATATTCCAGGGAAGATATACTACTTGCATAAAAAAGATGGTGAAAGTGAATTAAAATGTGGAGAATCCCAACCAGATCACTTAACAGGAATTAGTCCGCAACATGATATCTTAAATCATGTTGTGTGGGAATACAAAAAGAACCTCAAGACTATTATTCAATATGTAAAGTAATTTTTAAATTGTAATAATTTTTTGGATTTTGTTTTTTATTACCATAGCGAAATATCAAAATATCACATGATAAATTCACGTGATTTATATACGAACAATTATTATTAGCATAGAAAATAAAGCCTCCTAAAAGGATGTTCGATTGCGAACCTCACGATAGATGTTCGACATCAATCTCTTTATAAAATGGATCGTTATCAATTATTTACTGAATTTGAAATAGTATATTTCTAATTTTTTGTGAACCATTGAAACAATATAACCGTCCTCTATTTCAATCTTTACATCACAAATACCTTTTCTAGCCCTTTCATTTTTATTGCATCTAAATACTTGCTAACAAGTGAAATTAATATTACAACAATATCACAATACATTGTATACAAACCATCATAAGATACTCGTTATTGGTCTTGTAGGGGCATCGTACATTTACGTACAATAGCCAGTATAACATTAATTGTAATATTAATTTATTAACATGTATATTAATATAAATTGTAACAAATTATTGTAAAATATATTGCAAGTTTAATCGTAAAATTTATTTATCAAATACATTATCTAATATAAAAATTATACGTTGACTTCAAAGATGATCAACAATCACCTGATTAATCCAATGTTTTCCGAACTGTTGTCTCAGATAAAGAATTGTGGATATTAATCACGTGGATTTTAAAAATAAAAATAAAATTGTGGATATTAATCTTATTCTCAATAATAAACTCACTCTCCTTCAAATAGATGTAATTCCCCTGGCTTCTCAACGAAATATGCTTCCAATCTTATTATCAGTTTTGTTTACCAGAAGATTTACTTAATCCTCCTCTATCCTCATTTCTTCGTGCAGTTACTTTGCACTCCTTTATAAGCGTTCATTTCTCTTTCACCATTCTTCATCTTTTTGATTTAATTACCAATACTATTAGAGAAAACAAAAAAAAAATCTCCAAAATCCTGTGTAAAGTATATAGAAGCCGCTGTCTAAGAAAAAAATAACGAAGTGTGAGTAACTGTTCGTTAGTACAAACAAATTAAAGAAAAGAATACTTACCAAGATTTGAAAACCAATACGTCTAAAGAAATCCAGAGTTCTTAGTAAAACGTTTTGATAGAAAAAATAAATTTAAAATAAAATTTTTTCTGGATCCGTTACCAAAATTTACATGTCCAAGATCTTAGTCATTTAAAAAAAAAACGAAACGTTAGTAACGTTTCGTTAAAGATAATAAATAAATTAAGACTTCCTACTGAACTTTCCATGCGTCCAGACGTCCGTCCACAAAAGAAAATCAAAATGTTTTGTTAAACGGCCACCTACAAAATAAAAAAAAAATGAACTGTTAGTAGAGTTCGTTAAAATAAAAAAGTTTAGTTTTCGAAAAATATTTTCAAAAACTTACCAAATATCCCGTTGCTTCAAAATCGGAACTCCCCTAAAAAAAGAGAAGAGTCAAAACTTAGTAAAACGTTTCGTTAAATTAATAAAGAGGGAAAAAAACTTTTTCTTACTAAAATTCACGCGTCAAAAGATCGCCTAAAAAATAATAAAAACGAAATCGTTAATAAAAGTTTCGTTGTTATAAGTAATAATTCAAAAAAAAAGATTATCTATTTCTCTTACCGAATTCTACATTCGCTAAGAAAATATATTTCCAGAATCCTCTACTGCGCTAAAAGGACCTGGTCATCTAAAAAAAAGATTAAATTTAAACGTTAGTAAACATTTCGTTTAAAATTAAATTAAAAAAAAAAAAATTAGATTTTCTTACTGAAATTCTGCACGTCCAAAGAGCCGGTCACCTAAAAAAAAGAAGTTTAAAATCGAAACGTTAGTAAAACATTTCGTTAAAAATTAAATCAAAATAAAAAATTCAGATTTCCTTACCGAAATTTTACGCGCCCAAAAGATCTAGCCGACTAGAAAAAAAATTTCAGATTTCCCATGCTGAAATTCTACGCGTTCATAAGACCTATCCATCTAGGAAATAAATTAAAATAAAAATAGAAACGTTAGCAAAACGTTTTGTTAAAAAAATAAATTTGAAAAGATTCTAACTCCTACCGAAATCTAAGTCCGTGGGAAGAAACGAGAGAAAAGGGGCAAGAGAAGAGAACCAATAACTAGAAACCAAGGGAAAGGGCGGAGAAGGGAGCGAGAGAAAGGGAATGAGCAAGGTAGTAGATATGATATAAATTCATTTGGCATTTGATATAGTTGTCAATATTCATATGAATGCAATTGTGATAGTGGTAATTGTGGTTGCGTTTGATGGTACCCGTATGATAGACCTTTTTTTGATCTTGAAAATTCCGAAATCCGCTGCAATAAATCGGGCTGAAATTTCGATCGATAAAAATAATTTTTTTTTTTTAAGTATACAAGAAAGTCAACTGATACATTAATGATTTGAAATATGAAATATGATAAATAAAAATGCGTTTACACATGTATTAATCTTTAATGAGAAAGGCATTTTCCGGAATCAAACGAAAATGTAATAAAATAAAAAATTATTATTTTTTTTTTTTTTCATAAACTAAATTATTAATATACGGGAGTAAATTTGAAGCAATGATTAATGACAAATGCGTTTAATTAATCAAACTTGTACTTTCCGGATTTTACAAAATTTTTTACTTACGCGTTTTTGGTATCTTTTCGGGTGCTACTGCATTCAAAATTTACCTATAATGCATAATTAATAAACACATTTATTAAATTAAAATAGTCCCTGATTTTAAACATGTAAATTTTTTCCAAAAAGGGAACGCGTAGAGTCCAATTTATAGCTATCATCAATCAACCAATCACGTATTACTAATTATGCACTGCGCCAAAATAATGAAGGAGTAATCAATCAGAATATTGAGATTTAACTATAAATATAATTAGGAATAATGGACACGTACGTACATATCAAATACAAAGAAAATTTTTCTTTTTTTAGATTGATTTGGCCCCCTTTTTTTTCATTCGATTTAGAATTCGGAATGTAAGTTCCGATAATCAAAAAAAGAAAACAAAAGAAAATCAAAAAAATTTTTTTATTAAAAAAAAAAGATACCATTAACTACCATTAACTATTAATAACGATATACATTATCTTTTATTTATCAATTTTTTTTAAAAAATAAAAAAATTAATTATTAAAAAACATGTTTTGGTTTTTTTCTTTCAAGTTGATGCAATTATTGTTAATTTCGATGAAGAAATTATGACACCGGTCTGACTTGTTTTGAAAAAGATTCCGGAACACAGCAAAATGGTGGTAGCTTTTGGATAACCAAATTTTTCAGCAGATAAAATCGGTAAGTTTAATTTAATAAATAAAGTAAAATAAAAGGAAATTTAACTTTAATATTCTTTTTAATTTAGCTGGAGCCTGGAGGAATGTTCTCGATCCACGTCGTAAGTAAACTACATCTTTTAGTATATGTTTAAAAAGAGAAAGGAAAATAAATGTTTCTTCATTTTTACTAATGTGTCACGAATAGTTAAGTCTACGAGAGAAATTTTATCAATAAGATAAAATAATTGGAAGAGAGTTCGGAAAACGTCACGGCGATCGTAAGATTAAATATCTACTGGCATAAAGTGCAAAAATACCAGTAAGAAAAATCACCGGGATCGCCAAGGAACCTACATTTGTTCCAACCTTTAACAGGGCAGTGGGGTGGGTAGGTGGGCTTACAGTACGTGAACATTACTGTACTGTAAATCACTGTCCTTTTGGTATATTTTTTATCAGTTCGATTTTTTTTTTATACATTTCGTTCTCGCATTTTTTTTCGTAAAAATCTTTTTTTTTTTCGTAATACCCGTAACACCGTTATAAATCATTTGCTTTGTATAAAAAACCCTTTTGTAAGCCAAGTCTATATTCGGTTCTTATGTTGAAACTTTTTTTTTTCTAAATTCTTGTCGTGTACGAATTACGAAACTTTTTCCGTGTTTGTGATAATCTATTTCTCGATTTTTAATGTGCTCATTCCCCCTCTTCTACGTTTTTTTTTATTTAGACGACTTGTTCTATTTTTTTTACTGATTCTTTTCCAATATTTTTATTTTTATTTTTTATTTTATACATTTTTACTAGGAAATAAAATTATCGTATTGTTTAAAAAAATTGTTTATTTGGTATAAAGTATTTAAAATGTTTATTATTATTCATATTCAATACACCACTAACATGGTGTAAAGGCATATGACAGCTTGAACTGTGTGATGGTTATCTGTCGCATATACATGATCGTAGAAAAGGCTCATTGTATTTTGATTATAGAAACAATGCTTTTTGATTTAAATAAGAAAATTAATAAAAATAACAAAAATTAAAGTTTTTGTGATCATACTCTTTGCAATTTCTACTAGTGATGGCAAGGTGACAATTGAGCACTGCACGTCCTAAATGTGTGACATTTACCGTAGTAACACCACCAATTTTATAATTAAAATTTCACCCCACATGACCGGTGACAGTTAAGGGGTTGTGAAAAAAATAATTTTGGAAGGCAAAAAAAACTAAGTCCCTCAGATAAATATAAACAGTGAAAACGCGGTGGGGTGTGATGCCGGTGATGAATATTATTAGGTCACGTGGGGTGAAAAATTTAGTGGTGTTACTGGGGAAGTGATGTGTGACAGGTTACGCCCGAATATATTGTTTAAAGTATGTGGCGAAAAACTGTCTGTGGAACATTCGTCGATCATTTACAAAGCTGTTATCAACATCGGTAGGAGAAACGTAATGAAATATCATTTTATAAAATCAACAAAGCTAACATCTTTTGAGTTTTGGTCATAATCTTGTGGTCTGCATATCACATCGCGCAGTCTTCCACATGAATCGAGTTAAACTAGATTCGATTCAACTCAATTTAAAATCTAAATTCGAGTTTGAACAAATCGAGTCAAATTAGTTACAATAGAAATTATTTCATTCATTCATTCATTTATTTTAATGATTCTAAAATAGGTGGAATAAAGTAAATTCTTAAGATAGTAAGAATGGCTTTAACTTTTTTATTTATTATATATCAAGCACGCGAATAGCCTTGATAGCCTTTATTTTATCGTCGCTTCAATCTAAATCGAGTTCGAAAATATGCAGTCATCGGGAAAAAAAATTTAGTAGTGAAAGAAGCAAATGTATCGTTCTTATACGATCAGGTGCTATGTTCTTATACGACGTATATGTCACATAATATATGTCGTATAAGATAGTATGTCGTACACGTATAAGAAAGATACATTTGCGTCAAAGAATGGATCTAATATATACTTGAATAAATATCAACTAGGGAACGGAAACTTAAGTTCGGAGAGCAAAGATTTATTATCGACCACGTGACGAGAACCGGATACATTCCGTGTAACCATGTCTAACTACACATACTCTCTATAACTGTTCTAATTATTTTTTTATCAATATAAGATCATCATATGATTAAGGCTATTTCCTATTTTCATTTTTATTAAATTTTAATATATACATACTTTATAAACGAAACGAATAGTAAAATTCAAAATACGATCTTTTATAAGAGATTAAGTAATTATCAACTTTTTAATGTGTAGTTACTTGGCTAGCTATTATCCAAAGTATGCATCTTGTGCAATCTTTTTCTTTACCAGGATTCCCATCGTGCGTCTATGTCACGTTTATAATGAACAGGTCCTTTGAACTTTTTTCTTTGCAATTCTGTCGCATATGGTGCTGTGTCTGCGTCACGTAAATTATTATTAAAAGAATTCGTTTGGTAATTAATATTAAAAAAGAGAAAAAACTTTCTTTTGAAGTAAAGAGATTATTTATTTATCCGCTAAAGCAATAGTAAAGATAGTGAAGACGAAAGTCAGCAATAAGTATTTTAATTGCATGATTGATTTTGTGTTCAGTATTTTATATAAAATTCTTATTTGTTGTTTGTTAATTTGTTTTTATAACAATAAGAAATTTTCTCTCCTCAATTACAAAGTGTTTATACAAGAAAATTTTTCCATAGTAACACGTAGTATTTGATTACATTTTTTTTTCATATTATTACCAATGAAGGCAAAGTAAAGGAAGTATTTTTGCCACGTTTTTCTATAGTATTGCGCCTCATTAAATTTACAATTGAAGAGCAGAGCCACTTTAAAAATAATGTGAAAATGAGAGATTTTGTTATCAAATAATTTTTTTGAGCCGCAATAATCTTGTTTTATTAACGAGGGCGAAGCTAAAAGAAATGTTACGAGATATTTTTTGCCACGTTTTTATACACTGCGCCATATCAAAGCATGAGATGAGCAACTTTGAATCAACAACTCGAATGTTAGTAGCTTTAATGATTACATCAAGTAAAGAATGCTTATGTTATATATTATATACAATAAATATAGTATATTATTACTGAAAGTTGAGATAATAGATAATATTACGAGTTCGAGTTAAATTTCTTTGTCAAATGTAACTGACGTTAGTAATTGACTTATTGTTATAAATACTGTAATTACATTGATTGTCGTATTAAGTTTATGTATCTAGAAATCATATTCGCGTTAAAATATTAGTAAAAATCACAAAATGACGTATTTTAAACGATGTAGATTAATGTGAACTGAGTTTTTGGCTGAATATTTTCGACAGTTTATAGGCGTTACCGACTAATTTTTCATTTTTTTTTTTAAAAAAAAAAAATGGTTTAAATTTTATATAATTTCGTAACTCATGTAACTCATTAAATTTTTAAAAACAAATAAAATAAAAAATATAATTTAGGAAAAACGTGTAATTTTGCAAAAAGGCAAATTTATGTCGATCCATATATCAGGACCTGGCGCAAAAAGTAGTTAATAATCTTTTTATTTGAAAAACGGCTTGTCACTTTATCACACTGGCTTTGCTTTTGATAAATTTTATTATGTTTGAGAAAAATTAATTTTTATGTAAAAAAACAAATTTCAAACAAAAAAAAAAAAAGATTATAAAAGATAAAAAATCTAAAAAATTTTTTTTTATTTATTTAAACTTATCCCAATTTGTGATTATTTACAAAAATGTCACCATCTTATAATCCAGCTGAAGATACAATTAATTCAATTCTCATTGGATTACTTCCAGTATTGATAGTTGGTCTGTTTAATGGTTTTAAAGATGGTAAAAGAAAGAAATTATCCATGATAAATATATTTGATGATTTCTTTATATTTGCATCTATTGTTATATTTCCTTTAATTACAGCAATTGAATGGTATCAATATTATAGTAACTATTACAAAAGAGAAGTTATTGTAAATTACGCCGTTACAGCACTTTTTGGAATAATTTCATACATCCTTTTCTTATGGGTTCAATACAAAAAAGAAGATAAAGAAAAGATTAAAGAAGAAAACAATGAAAATGTGGAAGGAAAAAAAATAGATGAGAGAGGAAATGGTGAAACAAGTATAAATGTGGATGATGAAAATGGAAACAACAAAAATAAAAAAATAAATGGAGGAGGAAGCATAAAAAAGTTATTTACAGGATTTATAAAATTTATAAATGAAATATTTGAAGGTGAAATGTTAGCTTGCTACTTCATTTTAGTGCTTACTATTTTATCATATTCTGGGTATGACGCCTTTATCCATGGTGATTTGGGTCTCAATAATAATGCTAATAAGGTTTATAGTCACATGAGTAATTATTGCATTAAAAACTTTGGAATTAACAAATGCAACAGTTTGAGGCTAGCAAATAGGATAATTTATATTTTTGGAATTGTAGTCTATACTTTACATGCGTCTTGTATCACAATTTTACACATTCGCAAACTTCGTGAAAGTATTTTGATACGTTACGTAAGAGAATTTCAACGTATCACTAATTTCCCTACAATCTTTAAGTTTTTTAAACATATTAATATAATGTTATTAATTGTTTATCCAGCTATTGTATCTGGATATTTAATTAGCACCAGCCCTATTATCACAAGAATAGCTTTTGGAATTTGTACTTTATCTTTTACTAGATTAGTTAACCATTTTAATGAAAAACCTGATAACATCAATACATTAATCTCCATTTATCTGAATGGTGAAGTAAGTATTAAAGATAAAAAACAGCAAATAGAAACACTAACAGAAGAGATAAAACAACTAACAAAAGTGATAAATAATCAAACAAACGTGATAAACAATCTAACAAATCAGTTAAAAGAGAACAAGTAGGAAACGTAAATTAAGAAAAGAAAAAAATTGAAATAGGAATATGAAAAAACTAAAAAAAGAACAAAGACGAAAAAAAATATATTGAATAGTCTTTTAATTTGGTATTCAGTTTTTTTAGGAAATATAGAGATAGCTAGTTAAATATAAAATTCTGTAATATTTATGTTATTGTATAAACATTACCTATTATCGTTATATAGTACAGTATATATATCATATATTTCATCTTCAATTAAATATTGTAATCTTTCTTGGTAACGCTAGGGTAGTTATTATTATCATAATACAAAAGTATGAATAATAAAAATTCCTTTATTATAATCAAAAACTCAAAATACAATTTGAAAGTACGAAATAATAAAATGTTCCTTATTATTATAAAAATTAAAATAAATGTTTAAAAAATATGGAATAAAAAAAAAAAAAGAAAATACTAATACTAATATATATATGCTAGTACGCTAACTACTACAATGTATTAATAACTTTGACGTAATTCAAAAATTTTAATTCCTTTTCTATAAGCATAATCAATTATAGATTGACTATTAAATCCGTTTATCAACCAAAGTTTCTTCAGAGTAGTGGGAAATTTTTCGATTTCCTTTTCCTCCAATCTACAATGAAATCTTAATTCTACAAGACCTTTTAATTCTTGAATCATATCAAGTTGATGTTGTCTCCCAAGATAACATGGTGCCTCACAAATACTTATATCAATCATATTTAATAATAATATACGACAGTCTAAATAACGTATTGTATCCGCAAAACGAACTATTGCGGGAAAAAGTAATTGGGGAGATGCGTACATGTGTAAAATTAAGGTGTGAAGAAAGGGAGCGTTATCCGGGAATGTGTTGATCCAATTTTTACTATAATTGTAGGAACAATTTGATGAAGAATGAAGAGTGTTACGAATGTAACCTGAAATATTCAAATATTCAATGGTTGAAGGGAGTTTAATCGTATCACGGGGTAATGATGGATAACTTACAGTCAAGTGAGTAAGAAACTTTGGAATATTGAATAAATTTTTTAAAAAGAAACAATTTGAAACGTCTAAACGTTTCAATGTATTAGGAGGAGGTGTCGATGTAAAAATTTGATTATCATAAGTTGGGATTTGTAAACATATTATGAAACTATTGACCGATTTAGGCAAACAGCATAAATCCATCAATTGAAAATTAATCTTTTGTTTTAATTTCAATAAAAAAGGGATTACTAACTTCAAATTACATAATTTTGGCGAAAAAGCTTCGATTATTTCATGTAATTTGGAAGAAAAGAATTTGTCGGTGTTAATTGTCAATGATTCGAGATTTTTCAGTTTCTTTAACATTAAAGATAAAGATTTTTCGGTTACTAAAATTTATGATAAATAAAATTATATATACATAAATTTTTTTTTTAATTATTAATTGGTAATATTGTTTTAATACAATTAAAATAAAAATAAAAATCTTACTTTGTGGGCAGTTTACGATGGAAAGATCAACTAATTGATCAAATAAATTCGAAAGTCTAAAAAAATAAAAAATAAGATTTAACGCAAAAAATTCAATAAAATATTTTAAATAAAATAAATATTATAATTATTATATATTATATACCCGTCTGCAGTGAGATCCATACAACCATATAGGTAAAGTTTTTTTACATATTTCAAATCTTTATTATAAAGCCATTCGTTAATCTCGCTTTCGGAGATCCAATTATAAGGATCATAGAAAATATGCGGATCACAAATATTTACATACAAGTAACGACTATCAATTATATTGAGACTCTTTAAAGTAGGAGGAGGCACGACATATTCTAATTTATGTTTCTGTAAAATGAAATTAGTAATTAATATACAGTATATATATATATCATATTAATACAAAATTATATCAATTTGATAACTTACTTTAATCTTACGAATGTCATAATGGGCATGACTTATTAAACTGATCACAATATGGTTCCATCTTTTACACGTTAAACGTATTAAGATTCTTTCCATTTCACGAATGAAAAATTCATCGTCATCGCAAATCCTCATAAAATTAGTCGAAATTATATTACCAAATATTTGAATTAAGATTTCTGTGGGCAAGTTTTGGACAATGTCCGTTTTACATCGGTTTGTGTTCTTTGGCGTGTTATTAAAGGCGAGGGAACGTAATTGGGAAAATCCTGGATTATTTATATATCGTTGCATATTAATTTTTTTTTTTTTTTACTTGATAAAACTCAAGCAAGGACACTGTTTAAATAACAAATCATTACGGTTTTTTTAAAAAAATTAATATAAAAAATCATAAATATCTTTTAATCTTCATAACCTTAATAATAAAAGTCATTTAGTGAGTCAGCCTGCATATCATTTGTACCAACCTTGTCCATCGTTTTGTATTGGTTTATCGTTTATATCGTGAAATCGAATTCAGAAACAATGAAACACAGTTCAATGATCACACAAGTATGCGACTATGCGTAGTATAGTAGTATACGTAGTATGCAAAAAAATGCAATCAAAAAAAATTTAATGGATTAAAATGAATGAAGTAAAAAGTATTAATATATTGTACAAATTGTAATTGCGGATTTAAGAATACTGTAAGATAATACTTGTTTCTTGTACAAACGGATATATTGAATAATCTCTTTTTAGTAAATATTTCTAATATTAATTAATTGATTGATTTTTAAAATAACAAAGGCATTTTCGGCAATTCGACATGTACATCATTTTTCTTTAACATTCCAATTTTTAAATTTCTTTTGTTTCTTTTTGTTGGCCAAAAAAAGTTCAATAAAAATGGTTTAAATTATTCTAATTATAAAGTAAGAATCCAGATTTATGAACTTGATGCTTCTACTAAAAAATCGTCCAATGATGTTACTTGATTTTTATGCAGAGAGAGATTGAGCAAATATTGGGGAAATTTGTGTTACAAAAATTAAATATTCTATTTATGATATGATTCGTTAGAAAAAAAAGAGAGATTCGCCAATCATGTTGATCAAGTCTAACTGTTGCCTGTTGGTAAGGTTTGTGATCACGTGCAACCAATCATGTTCTTTATAAATCGTGGTACACCCTAGCTATACCTTTATATTGTTTTAGTAATTAAATACCATAAATGGAATTCAGAAATACTTTACAAAATTTCGCTGTAGTTCCTTTATTAAATTAATTGGTCATTAAGAATTAAATTTTCTCCTTTTTTTTGATATGATTTTACGTTATAAAAAATAAAGACGGAAAATTTATTTTAAAAAAGCCGAATATTTCCCCTGAAATATATATATATATATATATAATATATAATAGATATTATATGTATTGTAATTTTTTAGTATTCTTTTACAAATATATTATAACATACTATGAAACGTTTAAAATATTTGTAACAAATCAAAAAAATTATTCCACTATTAAATATTAAGCTCATTTGTTAAAATTATTATTATTAAAAATTGAAGTTCTCTCAACAAAATATTTAGGGTGATCTGCAATAAGAAGATTTTATTGGTATCATATATTGACCTTTGTGAAACTTAATATGATTACAGTAACTCCTTATAACACATGAAAAAAAAAAAAATAAACAATATAATAAGGGTAGTAGTTATTTTCGGATTAACTAGAAATATAAAAAGGCTGTGCATAATTGAGCCTTAATTGGTTTAAATATGGAAGCACAATATAAATACCATAGTATTACAACGTAAATAGAAAACTTAATACTTTATGGCATTTATAAAAATAACCTAAAACCGTCAATGATAGATAAGCCTGATAAGAAGGTTTATCCTGATGATTACTAGGACTTGGAGTGATCATATTAACATTGGAAATAATCTGACGGCGAGATTGTTGTAGAAGAATCAAGAATCTTTAATTAAATAATAAATCTTATATCGATATATCAATAAAATCAAGATTACAAGATTAGAAAGATTAGACTAAAAACAAATGGGTTAATCAATGAACTTAATCAATGATCATATGACTATTTTACACCACATAACACCAATAAGCCATATGACAGTAGCACTTGACCTAGCAAACAAATAAACAATGTTATTGTTTCCAGTTATAGTAATAACATATATGTATAAGATCTTTATTATTAAAGAAAAAAAATGCCGAAATATTTGCTCTAGTAATATATTTTCAGATATCCCGACGTGAAATTCTTCAATTTGCATGTTATATTTTTCAATTTTTTCATCTTGTTCTACATTTACGGCAAACCCGATTGATAAAAATTCTGGTTCTGGATGCAACGAAACCGTGTGGGTACATATCCGTTGTCCGAATCCGGCCGATAAACAATAGGATCTTCGAAAGTGGTGCTTTTTAATTCTGTAAATATCAGGCGCTTTGCCACATATAAATAATAAATCCAAGCCACAGTTACAAAATTGCGGATTTTCCAGGCGCAACATCCGACGACAATTATTACTTTATTAAAATATGCTTACAAAAAAATATTTAACTTAAAATTTTATGATATCACTATTTTTATATTCCGATAAGGTTTGTTAAACTTTAAAGGTAATTTACCTGACGCAGCAAATTCTGATTTGTCATTTTGATTTGGACAATATTGTTAGTATTATTTCAGTGGCTTACTATTATTATAATTATTATCAAATTCCTTTCGGTTAAATTAATTCCGTTAAAAAATGCGCACTTCTGATGTATACCCTGTGGCTTGATTTTCTTTAGATATATGACGACAATATGCATCCGATCATTTTAATTCTTATGGGGTGATTTCCTCCTAAATTTTTATTGGAAATTTTCAGAAGCACTTTTTCACAAAAGCTACTATGCTTTTTTATTTACTCCCTTAAAATATTTAGTGCGATGTTTTTTCTTTACAAAATAAACTTTTAACAACAAGTACTCAATACCGAAACGTCCTTAAAAAGATATAAAAATAATTAACCATGTCAAACAAATAAGAATTTTTATGCATCTCTTCTGATAATCTCAG